CTCCCTCCCTCCCTCCCTCCCTTCCTCCCTTCCTCCCTTCCTCCCTTCCCTCCCTCCCTTCTTCAAGCCATGGTCAACCTCTGGTCGACCAACTATACTTTATGTAGTTTTCTCAGCAAAATTTGGAGGTGATTTGCCACTGCCTTTGGGGGGGGGATATTCTTTTCAAATTCCTAATCTAGACTAGAATCCTCACATTTCCCGGTGACCTCCCATCCAGGACTTAAAAAAAAAGAAAAGAACTAAAGCTTTATTTTAAAGCTTTCACTGCTGAGCTTTTCCCACCTCAGAATGAGAAGAAATGACACTTTTTTTCAGCAGCATGATTAGGTGGCTTCAGAGACACCCCCCCTGCCCCAAAATGGTGTGAACCCTTGAGTTTGGGTAGCACCTCAAAATGTTTAGTGAGCAACCATTTTCAGAGACTATTTTACATTCTCTGAAGCTGGGGAGAAGGAACCCAGCCCATAAATACTGCCTTTGTTCATTGCTTCACAGGTTGTCCACGAAATTAGAAATTACCCTCAGTTTCAGCTACTTGCTCTTCAGGGACTGAATCCAAACAGGCACACATCTGCTGTGAGAGAAAGTCATGAGGTTAGTTCCAAAGATATTTTTTGTATATATCTGGTGACTGCTTATTAATGACATCCTTTTGTGTGTTTCATATTTTATTCCTTAAAACAAAGAAGAAGAAGAATGAGAATGTTTTGTTATGTTTGCCCTTATTTTTGTCTTGGATGGAAAATAATAAAACAAAAATAAAACAAAGTTGTAATAGAAAAGGAGCAATTAAAAACCACACCAGTAGCTTCAGGAAAAAGATAAATTCATCACCATCAGTCAACTGAGGGTCGAAAGCACAGTCTGGCAGAAAAATAAGATAATAACCATTATCCCAAATTGGGAGAAAACAACAAAGAACCAAGGTCAAGAATGAACAGAAAGACAATGCAAGAACCAACCGCGAAGTCATCCACATGTGTGTGTGTGTGTGTGTGTGTGTGTATGTGTGTATGTGTATGGGGAAAAAAGTCAAGATGGGGGCTACATGTGTGTGATCAAAGGCCCACCACTTATATACAGTATGTGCTTCAAATATGCAAGACACATTGAAAAGGGCAGGGCAGCCCCCATCTTGACTTTTTTGACACCCCCCTGTTAACAACAACAAAGACCCAGCAGTCTGTATGCAACTCTCCCATTTTTTGCAGACTTCAAGGATCTCTACAATTTGCTCCCAAATTTGCTCCCAGCCACCCATCTTTTAAAAATGCCCCCTGTAGCTTTGGTGCTGCAGCAGGGAGGAGAGATGGGTGGCTGTATCTTGGGGCACTGCACTGGGTACCCAGATGATAAAGCTGCCATGGCTGTCCTCTGGGGCTGGGGGCTAAGGAGTCCCTTCCACCCCACTTCCCTTCGCCAAGTATTGGTTGGCAAGAGAAGTTGGAGACGCAACCATGGGCACCACAAAGAGCCTCAACTCTCTCCTTGCCAAAAGCTGCTTGGCCTGACACTGGGGAGACCTGCCCCCAGTAGCCCCAGGTGACCAGTAGCAACAGCAGAGACCCCTAAGCTTTCCTCGCAAATATTTGCTGCAGACTGACTGCCTATCCAGCAGAAGTCAAAAGCCACCACTTTTGAAGAGGTCCAGGAAGGGCAGCCAGAGGCTGCCTTTGCAGTGGGTGGTGCCTTTGCAGTGGGTTGAGGAGGACATGTGGTCATGTCCCTGACAACATGTCTGTGACCTGTCTTTGTGTCAAGGTAAGCAGAAGATATGGATGAGCCCTTTGATTGCAGAGGTTCCACATTCAAACTCCTAGTAGGACCTGTTGCCCAGGTAGTCCATCTAGATACACCACCCCAAATCTGGCTTCTCCCTGAGGGTTTGGACTACAGCTCCCAGAATTCCAAGCTATCGGTTTGCTCTGAAGAACCAGGTTGGGGAAGGATGTCAAGACAACATTGCTTTAGGAAGAGCATGGCCTGACCCATTCCAAGAAGGCTGCATCAGAATGGTTGCATTTCTGATGGAGAGCACATTCTTTCCCCCGAATGGGGTTTTGAGGCAAAGAAACCCTTTTTTGGGGATCAGATGGAAATGCTGCAGAAATGGCTGTCTAGACAACTCCACTGTAGGCAAAAGCTCTTTGATGGTTTTGCCTTTCATTTCTGTCCTTCCTGGTCCAGGAGTTGTTGCAACTAGAAGATCGACTGGGAAGTGTGAGTAGAGGAGCTGTGCAAAACACCATTGAACGGTTCACTTTCCCGCACAAATACAAGAAGGTAAGCGTTGCAAGGCTTCCAAAACAATGATTAGCCAGCACTATTATAAATGTAACCATAAGACTTACAATGTTTTTTTTTCACGTATTCAGTCCAAAGTCATCAACTTTCCGTTGTTCTTTGAATTTAAATGAAGTGCCAAAATGTTTTTCTTGATTGTCCTCTTAATTTGTGCCTTCCTCCACGTATGTAGGTGTATTTCCCAGGGAGATGGGGGCTATGCTACAAAATTTTTATTTGGCCCATCAAAGGCACCTCAGGGCAGGGAAACAGGGCCCTGCCTGATAACTAAAGTGTGCAAGGAAGTAGGAAAAGAGGGGAATCTACTGGGGGAGGGGTCAAAAAAGTCAAGAGGGTGGCTATGACCATGCAGTCAATGCATGCAGGAAGGAGTGGAACTTCAATCACGCAGCAGCCTTCTTACCATCATCATCATCATCATCATCATCATCATCATCATCATCAAACTTAAGTGCATGAAATCATTTTGTTATTGTACAATAGAAATTTCAAATATGTTACATATACTAATAAACAGTAGTTCAGAATAATCCATTGCTCACTT